TCTCAAGACCGAGACCACGACGAGTACATTTCGCCAACGAGGACGTCCGTCAGAGACCGCTCGAGATCTCTCAGCAGGAGTCTCAGCGTTGCCAGCTCGCGCAGCAGCAACTCGTCCATCTTCTTCGGCCGGCCGAACTCACTGCCTTCTATTACGGAGAGCGAGAATGATCCCCACGGAACTGAGTTCCGTGACCCGTTTGCGGATCAAAACTCAATAGAAGGGCATTCTGCTCCGCGTGAGGCTCAGAATCCGTTCGACGACAACAGCAGTGGCGATGAAGGAACTGCCGTACAGGAGCTGGAGCCAGAACCGCCTTACCACGTCTTCACGAAGAAGCAGAAATGGGTTGTTATCGTCATCATCGGAGCCGCCGGATTGTTCTCTGGTCTTTCTTCCAACATCTATTTCCCAGCTCTCGATACCATCGCACGGGTAAGTCCTGTTCATCCAGCCGGAATCCTCGGAAACTCTCTAATTCACAAAATCTCATAGGATCTCAATGTCAGCTCGCAGATGGTTTCTCTGACCATCACGTCGTACTTGATCATCCAAGGCATCTCCCCGCTAATTTGGGGCTCAATCTCGGATGCTCTGGGCAGAAGACCAATCTACATCGCCTCGTTCGCCGTGTACATCATTGCCAACATCGGACTGAGCTTCTCTCCCAATTTCACAGTTCTTCTGCTCTTCAGGGGCTTGCAAGCCGCCGGAAGTGCCTCAACCGTGAGCATTGGTAAGTTACATACGGGAAAATACAACCCTTTGTTTTCTCCCTTGGACCTCTAAATTTAGCCAAGAAAAAGTCGTCGTAATTCCTTTTACTGACCTGTGCAACAGGAAACGGCGTGATCCAGGATATTTCTCCCCCGGCTGAACGGGGAGCATTTATTAGTTTCTACCAGGCGAGTAAGTCACTATGGGCCCTATCGCTGTTTCACACGCATTACGGTGTTTTGCTCGGTGACTCGGTTTTATCTCCTGGTGAGCTCGGAGCTAACACCTCGTAGTCCGAAACTTCAGCATAGCAGTCGGGCCTGTGCTCGGCGGCCTGCTCGCCAACTTCCTCGGGTTCCGGTCCATCTTTGTCTTTCTCCTGATTCTTTCTTCTATAGTCACCTTGGTGATTGTGTTTTGGCTGCCTGAAACCATGCGGAGCATTGCCGGGAACGGCTCGCTTCGTTTGGGTGGCATTTACAAGCCGATCATATGGTACCTTGGCAAGGAGCCAGAGTACCTCGAAGACCCGGATGAACCCATTCCGCGGAAGAAGGTGACATTGATGACCTTTGTGGAACCGTTGCGGCTGTTGATTCAGAAGGACATTTTGATCAACTTGGTGTTTGGTGGCGTGGTCTATACCATATGGACTATGGTCACGTCGAGCACCACCATCCTGTTCAAGGAGCTGTTCGGACTTAGTGACTTACAAACGGGTCTCGCATTTCTACCTAATGGTAAGTAACCTTCCCACCTTCACCTTCTTTCTCCCTTATCAAAAAGGAGGCTCGCTTACATGTAGGACAGGACTTGGAACCATTGTTGGATCCGCAATCGTGGGCAAGCTAATGACAAAAGACTATCTCGAGATGGAAGAAGAGTACAAGACATCTCATAACATAACAGGAACAGAAAAGCTCTCAGGGAAGAACATGCCCGCTGAGTTCCCCATAGAGCGCGCCCGCCTTCGTCGTCTCCCCTGGATCGTCCTCATCTTCGTCGCTTCCACAGGCGGCTACGGCCTCTCCCTCAACTTCTCCTCCATCACTTCGCGATCAGGCTGGATCGCAGTCCCACTCGTCCTCCAGTTCTTCATCGCTGCGACCAGCAACGCCGTCTTTGCCCTCAATCAGACCCTCGTCACCGACCTGTGTCCTGGAAAGGGTGCTAGTGCCACCGCGATTAATAACTTGGTCAGGTGCGGTCTGGGAGCTATTGGCGTCGCGTTGGTAGACAACTTTGTTGCCACCACGGGGCCTGGCGCCGCGTTCTTGGGCTTGGCCCTCGTCACGGTTGCCGTTGGGCCGTTGGCGGTGATACACTGGTACTGGGGACAGACTTGGAGGGCGGCGAGGATGAGGGAGAAGACGTCGAACAACGAGAAGGCATGAGGCCACAAGGTCTCTGCGTTGCATTAGTCGTCACACCTTGTGGCTTGGTGAGGCCTCGTCTGTGACGCCTACCGGTCGATGCATTATCATAAGTCTGTAGCGTTGAGCGTGCATGATTTGGTGATTCTGCGAAAGGAAGTTGAACATCATATTTTGGGCAAAACAAAAAGCAGGATAGAACTCCATAGATTTACATTCAATAGCAGTGTTAGAGGTGGCATCAAGAGTCCACCTAGTTTCACACTTGCACAACTAGAAAATTTCTCGCTTCGTCCCCTTTCTCTTCTCTTCAATACAATGATAAATTCGACCCTCTTTGCTGTACAACAGGGAACGTGAGTGCCGAGTCTTGGCGGAAACGAGGTGTTTGACACATGGGTCCGGGGAGAAATCGTGTAAAACCATTGGTTCATGGGCCTCCTTTCCCACACACGATGAGCAGCACACAACCTGACACCCAACTCTTGCTGCCAAGCAGTCTGTCGGCTTTCGAACCATTTCGCTTTCGGGAAAGAAACCTGACAGTTCATACATCTGGATCGATCGTATGCTGAGGTTTGAGAACGAATTCAAGCTATACTTGGAAGAAGTCTCCCCATTCTCGGGTATGAGCCCTTGGCTAGTGCATCTATCCCGAGATTTTGGCTGGCACAAATTTCCCGAACATGATTCGGCATCCCGATGTCGCATACCCGAGCGGGGTTCATCTTATCTATAGTCCACGAAGAACACACAACATTGACAGAAGCGGTCAGATCGGACCTGGCCCCGCGGCAAAGTTCGTCGGTATTTAATCCATCAATTGATTAGAAAGGCATGCGGATGTTCCTATCTCCTCTTGTACATCGATGAAAGGCTCACCAGCAAGACGTGAAGCATCTTTAGACGGTGTACTTGGCAATCGAGCAATCATGGTGGAACTCAAACAAAACGGGGAGGCAGCTCAGCCTGCGGCGAACATCGAGCAGCAATTGAACACATACGTCGAAAAGTATGTCGCAGAGAACCAGGGCTCGCTGCAAGTCAACAAGACAGCCTCAGGGTCGCTACCTGGGGGTACAACTAGATCCGTGCTGCATTACCTGCCTTTCCCATTGGCTTTCTCCGGAGGCCACGACTGTCACCTGATATCCGTGGACGGCGCCGAGTACCTCGACTTCGTGTCCGAATATTGCGCCGGTATGTTCGGCCACTCTCACCCAGACATCATCGCTGCGATCAACAGCGTTACCAAGTCGGGACTCACTCTGGGCGGGCCGAGTCCCAAGGAGGGCGAATTGGCTGCCCTATTGGTTGAGAGATTCCAGAGCGTCGATGCCATCAGGTTTTGCAATTCGGGAACTGAAGCGAACACCATGGCGATTGGTACGGCGTTGCATTTCATTGGAAGAAAGAAGGTAGGCTGTAACAGTTCCTCGAGCCCGAGATCTTTCGCTAAATCATGCCCCACGCTCAGGTCTTGGTGTTTGAAAATGGTTATCACGGTGGCACATTAGCTTTCACGCCCAACAACCCGCTGATTCTTCCCCACGATTTCGCGTACGGCCGGTACAACGACATTGAGTATACCCGATCGCAAATCACCGACGATATCGGCATCATCATTGTGGAACCAATGCAAGGCGCAGCAGGAATGCTTGAGGGGTCAAAAGAGTTCCTCCAGTTCCTCCGCGACGAAGCCACGCGCATCGGCGCCATCCTCATCTTTGACGAGGTCATCACCTCGCGACTCAACTACGGCGGCTTGCAAGAGATCTACGGCATCACGCCGGACATGACCACCATCGGCAAGCACTTCGGCGGGGGCTTCTCGTTTGGCGCGTTTGGTGGGCGCAAGGACATCATGGACCTGTACGACCCACAGGGACCGCGGAGTCTATTCCATTCGGGAACATGGAACAACAACGTCTTCTCCATGACGGCGGGTGTCGCTGCCACCAAGCTTTTGTCGAGAACGGCGCTTGAGAGGAACAATGAGCTGGGGAACAAGCTTCGCGACGAGCTGCGTGAGGTGTTCGGCTCCAAGGATGCGTCCATTGTCAAGCTGACTGGCTATGGGAGTGCGATTGGCTTGCACTTCCAGGGCCCTTCGGCAGGCAAGTTGCAGGATCTCTTCTTCTTTTACCTTCTCAGCAAGAGGATATACGTCGGACGTCGTGGATTCCTTGCGCTGAACCTTACTCATGGGGAAGAGCATATCAACAAGGTTCTGGATGCGGTCAAGGACTTCTGCGCAGAAATGTTGTGAGAGATGTTTGTAAGCTTCAGCCTTTGATCTCGGCCTAGACCAAAGGCAAATTGGCGTCGACATGCTGCTAGCTCATAGACAATGTCAAAATAAATGCTGTCGATCTCACCCTCTCCCTCACTCGGTAGCCGCAATTTCCACATATCGTCGTCCGCTTGGGTCATTCTTTTCAAGCCAGAGGTTATGGCCTAGGCTTTAACTAACCGCCGATATCCTCTCCAATATCCGTTCTTGGCATCACCAACCTCCTCGTCATGATACTTAGAAAGGAAGGTTGATAGCGCAGCATTGGCTTTTGCTTGGCAACCCAAGGGTAACGTGGTATCAACTGCAATTCCAACCTTTATCCGCTTCGGACCCAGCATCCAAATGCCCCCTTGACCCCTGTTTATCGGCGCAGATCAGCCTATCGCGCGGGGTAAACAACACCAACACCGGCACGGTGGTTTGAGCGACCGTGCTCTTTATTAAAGCCTCCCTACGCAAACCGGTCGACCAGTCTCACCTCATCCTACTTGCGCCATCGTCACTCATTCTGGCAAATAGCCGCCAAGCTCATGCTATCGAGCCATTGAGCCCCTCTCATCTTCCCCTTGAACCTTCAATCACTAATCCGGCATCGTCTCCGTAGGCCGCCCACAATGCCGGACCTCCGCCCCCGCACCCTCGCCCCACTCCTCCTCTCCCTTCTCACCGGGCACCGCGTCCTCGGTCAAGCATCGCCGGGGTTTCCCATGGTCATCAACACCTGGGGCGGCCCCTTCACAGCAGCCACAGACGCCGCCTACCAGGCACTCGTCAAGCCGGGCACCTCGGCCCTCGACGCCGTCGAGATCGGCTGCGCGACCTGCGAGGCGAACCAGTGCGACGGTAGCGTCGGCTTCGGCGGCTCCCCCGGCGAGAACTGCGAGACCACCCTCGACGCCATGATCATGGACGGCGTTACCATGAAGTCCGGCTCCGTTGCCGCCCTGCGCCGCGTCAAGAACGCCATTGGCGTCGCTCGCCACGTGCTCGAGTATACCTCGCACACCATGCTGGCCGGCGACCTCGCGACGGAATTCGCCATTGAGAACGGCTTCGTCGCCGAGAGCTTGACTACCGAGGCCTCGGCGGAGCGGTGCGCCGCGTGGCGGGCCGGGAACTGCCAGTCGAATTACAGGCAGAACGTCACGCCGGATCCCAAGGCCGCGTGCGGGCCGTACACGCCCGTGGAGCTCGACTCCAGCTCTTCTGGCTACTTTGACCTCATTGCGCCGAATTCAGCGCAGGCGTCACACGACACCATATCCATGATGGCTCTGGATGCGAATGGGATCATGGCGGCTGGTACCTCTACCAATGGAGCTTCCTTCAAGGTACCCGGACGCGTTGGCGACGGCCCGATCACAGGTTCCGGTTCTTACGTTGACGGTGATGTCGGAGCATGCGGCGCGACTGGCGACGGTGACATCATGATGCGTTTCTTGCCCTGTTATCAGGCTGTGGAGAGCATGCGACGAGGAATGAGCCCCCAGGAGGCGGCGAGAGATGCCGTAGTTCGCATGGTCAAGAAGTATCCGGCTGTGTCGAGCGGTATTGTAGTTGTCAACAATAAGGGTGAACACGGCGGTGCTGGGTCTGGGTGGACTTTTACGTACGCCTTCAGAGGTGGTAAGATGAACGCTACTGAAGTTGTGACTGTGTCGCCCGTTGTTGTCACCCGATCTTTGCGCGTTGAGTCAGAATTGAGGTAGAAAACGCTTGGGTCTACTCCATATGAGAGTTGTTGATGAATTGATCTTATTTCATCGTACCTCCAGACAGACTGAGACTCGACTTCACAACGAATGACTAAGTTTTCTTCAACACAAGATCTAGGCTCTCTGCGCTACATGGGTCAGATGCGGCTATGCACCACGCGAGACTGGTCGAATGAGGTTCAACTCCAAAAGACGTCAAAGCAAGGTTGTCTATCACCATTGTGGGGTTGCAGCACACCATTGCCATGCCTGGCTTTCGCCAGCTAACTTGCAGGATGACCAGCCAATCCAAACATTTGAGTACCTGGTCGATAAAACTCTCTACCGATATCGCAAAATCCTATCCTCTTGGCAGTTCAATTGTTCTCTCTTCCCACACCTCGACGATACCACGAGTCCACTTTTGGCCGCATCGGCGGGATTCACTGCGACCATCCATTGAAGTGCTGAGCTTGACGCTGCTCCTCAGGAGCTCGGTAAGAATTGCGCAATGGCGGGCAACTTCCGAGTGGGATTCAGTTGAACGAGGGCTCACGAACCGTTATTTATCAACTCGCTATCCGTCGTCGAGCGAGTATGTCTAGAACTATCTCAATCCTCAATCGTTCTCATCTTAGAGGTCTCTGGTCGATTGCCTCAAGGACTCTGCAACAATGGCATCTGCTCTCAAAGAGTCGGTCCCAAGGGACAAGTGGTGGGAGTGGAGATGGTTTTCGCCAGATGATACGAAGGAGGAGAGGCGTCTCATCACGAAGATTGACCTTCTCTTGGTACCTTACTCGGTCCTCGGTACGATCTATCGCTTTCGCATAGTCTCCCAGCAATCGGGCTAACATTCAGCTCGAAAGGCTACTGGGTCAAATATGTCGATCAATCCAATTTGAACAATGCCTACGTCGCCGGTATGAAGGAGGATCTCGGGTTCTACGGAAACGAGCTTGTTCAGCTCCAAACGCTGTTCACTCTTGGATCGGTCTTGGGCCAGATCCCTTTCCTGTATGGACAATGCTCTCCGGATCTGCTGTTATACACTAACAGGAAACCAGATTCATCATGACCTATGTCCCAATCCAATATCTCATCCCAATTTGCGACGTTCTGTGGGGGGTATTCACGCTTCTACAGTATCGCGTCCACTCTTACGCTGAACTGGCCGCTTACAGATTCATGGTCGGATGGTTCGAGGCCGCATTCTTCCCGGCAATGCATTACGTCTTTGGTACGCACTGAAGACTTGAATGATGTTCGGGCTCATCGCTGACTCTGAGATAGGCTCCTGGTATCGAGGCCACGAGATTGCTCGTCGCGGCGGTATCTTCTACACCGGTCTAGCTGCCGGCACATTGACAGCCGGTCTCATCCAAGCCGGCGCATCGAGCTCACTCGAGGGAGTCCACGGTATGAACAATCACCATCAAAACTCACTCTCATGATCCCCTCAATCGCTAACGGAAGTGAGTTACCACAGGCATGGAAGGATGGCGATGGATGTACATCATCTGTGCCCTCATCACCATCCCTGTCGGCATCTTCGGTTTCTTCGTGATCCCCGGTACCATTGACCAGCCCAATAGATGGTGTGTCAACGACAAAGACATCGAGACCGCCCGCGAACGCCTCGAGAAACACGGCCACGTCTTGCACGGCAAGATGAAGTTTGGCCACATCAAGCGCACCCTCCTCGGCTTCCGCTTCTGGCTCGTCATCACAACTGACGTCCTCTTCTGGAACGCAGGCATCCACAAGAACACGGGCTCCTACCTTCTCTGGATCAAGAGTCTTGGACGGTACAGCGCTGCTCGCATCAACGAGTTGGGTACAATCTCCCCCGCGCTGGGGATCGCGTACACGCTCATTGCTTGCTTCGCTTCGGATATGTTCCTCGGTCCGGCCTGGTCGATCACGATATGTTCGGTCCTCAATGCCATCGGTCTTATCTTCCTGACGATATGGACTGTTCCCGAAGGCGGTCTCTGGTTCGGGTTCGCGACCATGTATTGGTCCAATGCTCTGTCTTCTGTGTTCCATGGATGGGTCAACAACCTGCTGCGAGACAGCCCCGAGGAACGGAGCTTCACTTTGGTTCTTATTAATTTGCTGTCGCAAAGCTCGACGGCATGGACGCCCTTGCTTACTTTCCCGACGGTCGAGTCACCAAGGTACAGGAAGGGCTTCTCGTTCTGCCTGGGATGCGCAGTCGCGTTGATTGTCTTCACCTGGATCATGCACTACTATCTGAAAAGGGACAAGAAGCACGACACTGGGTCCACAGATGAGGAGACGAGCACCCAGTCCGAAGTTGGTGTGGTGTCTTCAGTAGAATTGAAAGATAAAAGCGACCTAGACGCTAGGAAAGACGATCCGGCTGCTGTAAGGGTCAACAAGGAGACAGGCGATGACAAGATCACAGCAATTTGACAGTTCTCTCATCAAATTTGTCATATGGTATGCGAACTTGGCCATCAATGCTGGAGTTCTTTCGAAAGATGTATATACTGAAATGGAAGCTAAGCTATATACAGTTGCGTCTTGGGCCTACTACATGTTACATGCCCCAGAGCGATAATGAATGAAAAAGAAACTTTGATCCTGCATCTTTCTTGTATGCTATCTCATCTCGACCTTAGATGACAGGAAAACAGCCAATCTCGATACCCATCCAATGAGCACTTAGTAAACAGGGACCTTGAAGGCAGGGAAAGTGTAAGTCCAGCTGTCAATCGACTTGGCGTCGTTGACGCAGTCAAAGTCGGAGCTGTTGCCGCGCCAGACGGGACGGGTAGGCCACTGGCAAAGCATCTGGGTCTCGCCGGCGTTGATGTTGGTGGACGAGGTGACGGTTGCGTTGAGGCGGCTGGGCTTGTTGCCGTTCTCGACCCAGTCGATCATGATGTTCATGTTGTTCTGGGGGTAAGGGCCGGGCTGGAGGCTGTTGGTGCCGCAGTGGCCGGCGCCGGGGACCAGGTAGAACTGGTACCAATCCTCGAGGGACTTGATGGCCTCGTCATCCTTGGCGTCGGGGTACATGACGGAGCGGACGGACTGCCAGTAGTGGACGGAGGAGGCGGCGGGGATGCTGGAGTCGGACTCGCCGTGGTAGTGGAGGAGCTTGCCGCCCGAGGACTGGAAGGGGGTCAGGTCGGGGAGAGTGGTCTGGAGGCTGTCGAGGTAGCGGATCATGCCGGTGTTCATCCACTCGACGAGAGTGTCGTAGGTAATGTTGTTCATGTCGGAGAGGTTGTCGAGGTCGAGGAGCTGGACGAACTTGGTGACGTACTCGCCGCCGGTGGAGGGGATGCTAAGCTCCCATGCGTCGGTCTCGTTGTTGTAAACAGTAGCAGCGTCGCCGAGCTCGGAACCAATTTGCCAAGAGAGGTAGGCGCGCTGACCCTGGGAGTTGAAGACACCATCGTAGATGGCCTGGGCGACGGCGACGGCCTGCTCGGTGACAGTACCGTTCTGCTCGGGCTGGTAGCTGGTGGTGCTGCCCTGGGCCTGTCTCTTGTTGAAGCCGAAACCAAGCGAGCTGCTGGTCTTTGCGGCACAGTAGTAGGACTCGCCGATGGTGGACTTCAGGTCGAACTGGAGCTTGCAGAGGTCAGTGCGGGAGATGACGCCGTCGACACGGCCGTCGAGGCCGTCGCAGGCGGCAATGGTGGAGTTGACAATCTTGGCCAGCTCGCAAGGAGGCGGGTAGTAGTCCTGGGTATGCTCAACGGCAGACGAGTAGACGTGGAGGACCTGCTGCTGGGCGAAGCGGAAGGCCGGAGCACCGGCGATGACACCGTCGTACTCCTCACCCCAGCGCTGGACCTGACTCATACCCTCGCGACCGCCGTCAGAGCAGCCCTCGTAGTAAGTGTAGACCTTGTCGTCGGCGCCCATGCTGTAGAATCCCTTGGTGATGGCCTTACCGATCTGGGTCATCTCGCCCAGGGCCTGGTACCCGAACATGTGGGTGGCATCCCAGTTGATGGAGCCGTTTCCGTAAAGGACGACCTCGTCGTAGCTGTTGTTGAAGGCGTCGTAGCCAGCATCGGTGGCACCTCCGGCAGCACCGTAGGAGATACCGCCAGTGGAGTCGGAGGAGAGGGAGAAACCGCCACCGCCGGCAACGTAGAAGCGGTTCTTGAAGACGTCAGGGCTCGGGAAGGCGTACTTGAGATTGACGGTGTCGCCCTTGCCAGTGTGGGTATAGGCCACGGTGACGTTGCAGTATGTGAGGGGGTTGCTGCTGCCGCCCATCATGCCACCGCCGCTGGTGGCATTGTAGACCGGGCTGGCAGTGATGGAAGAGGGAACCAGATCGATGCCAAGAAGAGTTCCGTTGGAAGGCAGAGCGTTCTGCACGTTCTCGACAGTGCACACATCTGCCAGGGAGGATGTGCTGGCTCTGGCCGCCAAAGCGCGAAGAGCCGCCTTGGAGTACTTAGACATATTAGAAGGATGCGAAGTTCAAGTCGGTGTGGAGGAAAGACAAGTGAATGAAAGAGGGAAGAGAGAGCGAATGATGGTAGTGATGCCTTCTAAAACCATCAGCAACATCGTGCCCGGGCAGACATCTTTATAACAAGCTTGAAAACTTATCCCGATGTTGCGGTTCCCTAGTCCTCGGCGCCGGCGTTGCCATAGTAGACGCGGCTCCACACGTGGTCCGTCTGTACGCCTCATAGCGCCGGGGCGCAGTGTACAGACGTGCGAGCCGTATTCTCGCATCGACCCCAGTTCGCCCGTGGAGACCTACTTCACGACAGGTTCAGTTTACGTCAGTCATGGATAGCGTGAATGGAAGAGATGATGGTAGGGCTGATGGTCCGGACGAAACCTTGTTCGGGTGGGGATCCAACTCCCGACGCTTGGAGGGTTGTTTTCTGGTTCGTCCAATGATCCTAGGTACCCTGACCACCGGTATGCCGCGTCACACTGGTCCTGGACAATCTTTGAATGCAGTGTAGTTTGATTTGTGACGCGTCTTTCTACAAGATGTGGATGGAAACGTGTTGCGGCGTTGAGTCTAATTCGGATGCGGCTTGACGATTCACGAAAGAAACTGAGCTCCCGGTTTGGCACCCGACTTCGAGTGCCAATTAGACAGTGCCTCAGTACCATGCCATTTTCTCGTTGGACTTCTCTCGTTTTCAGTATGATTGTATCGAAATAGGGGAAGAATTTGACACCTTGAACTCTTTAGTGAAATCTATGGGCATTCCATGAGGGGTGCGCTAGGAGCAGTGCAAGACGCCCTCAGTGGCATGAGTGAACCCCAGGCTAAGATCCAGTACCGCCTGAACGTTTCTGGTCATGTCATCCCAGCAAAGAGCATAAAAATGTCTATGAAGGTCCCACAGCTCTATGCCCCCTGAACAGAGTTGATAAAAAAAGATCTAAAGTCCGCCGGGGAAAAAGTGACCGCAAGCCACAACAGTAAACTTTTCTTCGGTACAACCCCACAGAGCTTCTGGGGTTTCTTGAAGAAGGGGGCTAGGCAAAACCCCCGAATGCTAGTTAAAATCTGCTCAGTTTGTGCCAACACACAGCCAACTCCCATCACGGGACCGATTCGGCCAACGGGTTGTGGGTAGTGATGATGAATTTGTCTCTCCATGAGTCCATTCACCGGCCGAGTGTAATTGCTTTCTCCAGCTTTCTTCAAATTTTAGCCGCTTCTTTCCTTTGGTGGCGGATGTTGCCGTGGGAGTAAAGAACGGGAGCACCGTTCTAGCGCTGTCTCTCGGAGGCCGTTGTGGGGGCGTCTCCGATCTACGGCCGGGATTTGGGCCGATGCTTCTAGTGGGGCTAATCCGAGCTAGGTTCGGCCAATCACGAATCTCAGCGGACAAACTTCTTTGCTTGATCTGGCTGAGGAATACTAATCTAGTTGTCAATTACAGCCTACAAGACAGGCGAGAATTGCTCCAAATTAAGGTATAGGGCAAGGGAGAACGTGAAAGGAGATGCTACTGGCCTATGGGAAGGCAAGACGGAGAGCAGCAGGTGGGCATGTGAGTGAGTTTACGCTTGACCTTTGCGCGGAATGTTTATCCTTTAATCACAAGATGAAGTAGTCCAAGACTAATCACTATTGTTCCAAAGTCTTTACAGCCCACATCCCGAGGCCGCCAATCGATGCTATCTTTTGCCTGTAAGGAGAAGGAAAATTTCGTGGCCGGAGCAGAGAGAGACCAGCGCGTCTCAGCATACATCATATGAGTAATTCCTGCCATGAGCACAGCACAGCAGAAAAGACATAAGATCTCCATAGATAGAGAGATGTTATGAAAGTGCAAAGAAATTTGCCAATTTACCATCAAATGTCGTGCCGATCAAGAGGTACGTACATATCACCACCGCCCGTAGAATCCCACGAGAATCGTCACAAGGTATTGACCGCAGCAAATAAAAGGGAAAAAATCCATATTGAGACTACCGATGTAATTGCGGAGCATCTGACAGAAGCTTTTATTGTATGAAGCTCTCCTGCATCAAATCTTGCATAGAAGCCGAAGCAACACCATCACTCAGGAGAACAACGGCGAAGCGTGTCCTGTAGCGTCCAGCAAATCCACCATCGGCTAATGCGAGCTAGCACAGTTCTACATTGATACCGTTCGTTCTCAAGACACCTAGTAGTTGCTGCCATCATACCCAGTGTTATAAGTATCAGGAATGTCGCCGGTGATCTCAGGATAGGCAGTGACCTCGTCTGCATACACTGGAACTGCTTTCGGGTCTTTGCCGTCGAAGGTAACCTCGTTCGATACGACGCAGATGAGGAGGTTTTCGAACTCTTGAGGCGACTTCTCCTCTCCGCTGGGAAGCGTAATCCTCCATCGAATTTTGTCCTTCAGGAATGCAATAACGTGCTCCTGAGTGAGGCTGTCTACCAGTCCAGCCAAGTACCGCTCTACCAGAGCGATGGTAAGGGGGATCTGACCGGTGATTCTGTGATTCTCAGTGCGGCCTTTCTTGCAGTTTCCGCACGGGCTTTCTTCAGCCTGACCGAATGTGGCGAATGATCCGACGTGTGCGCGGTCTTTCATGTACAGGAGAGGAGGTGTGCTATCCGAGGGATCACCAATGAAGACATTGACAATGTAGTTGCCGTCCAGCTCGGATTTGTCGGCCCGAATATTCACAAGCCACTCGAGATATTTGTCCCCAACTGCCAAGTTAGGCAGATCACGACTTGTCGGGAGCTCGGGGGCTACCGTGCCAGGAGTAGCCAAATGGGCCTGCGCGCGAGCGCGGAGAGCCTTTAGAGTCTCAGTATCCGGCGGTTGGCTTCGCAAGATGTTGGCAAATGAGGCCCGTTTGTAGTAGATTCGGTCCACTTCATTGATGACGGCCTCTCTGGTTGCGAACACGCTTCGAGTCTCTGGATAGATGTAGCCAAAGGTTTTGGTGTCTTTAACTTCCACTGACGTCCAAAAGATCTGATTGCCATCTCCATCGACTGTGTGTGCAAATGGAGGCAAAGAAGTGTTCGCGTCCTCGTCCATCTTCGAATCTCGAACGATGGTAGCAAAGTTCGACTTCTGGGGCGTAACGTACTTGTCAGGGTTGCAGGCCTGCCAAATGGCGAAGAGTCGGTCGATGTTGCTGTGGTGAAGCCAGAAAATAGGGTCGAAAGCAGCGAATTCCGCGTTACCCATGTATCCCCCAATGTATATGTGGACAGCATTGTGAACATCTTCGATGCTACCCCAATTTCCAAACAGATTCGATTTCGAGCCGAATGCGCGGTTGTTCGACACAGCCCCAAAGTCCGTGTACGACTGCAGAAGAAACAGGATTCGCTCAGACACATTCATGCCCTTGACACCGATGTCCTGTTTAGTGAAGGACTCGATGGCTTTCTTTCGAGCCTTCTCGTCGTTGATGTTGCCAAAGGTTCGCGTGGTCTTTTCGTTATCCTATGGGGATAGTCAACTAAAGTCAGTCTTGTGGCAACATTGATGGACTTTACCTGGACGATCTTGACATAGTCGGGTACTTCCTTGGCGTACTGAGCCTGAGAGTACTTCCCAAACTTGTAAAAGCCTAGTGGGTTGATACTGCTGGGAAACTCTGGGTCATCCTTCTGGCTATTGGGTCTGTCCACAGTGTGCTCCTCCCTGGACAGAGCTTCCTTTGGGAAAAGTGGAAGTTCGGGCCTTGCCCAATCCCAGTATGGCAGCCGGAAGGTCTTGGCGGCCTTGATGTACTTCGTCACCCCGTCCTTCTCAAACTCTTTGGCGATGTATTCAACATGCTTGTAAAGTTCGGTCTATATCATCAATATTAGCTCTAACTAAGGGGGGGGAAACCATCTTCTACCATCACCCGTAGACATTCTTACCTCGAAGAGAGCGAGATAGACACGATGCCACGTGAGGAACAGGATGGAACTGTGCGTGCAGTATCCTCCATACCCTCTCTCGGGATCGAAGTTCTTGCCGACATGATTCCACTCCGCGTCTGGCCACTTTTGCGCCGGCCTTCCATGGATGCCTGCATAGGTACAGGCATAAGCCTAATGATTTGAAACAACGGAAAGGGTAGAAGTACCGGCAATCTGGAAATAGGACAGCGGCTGGTCCTCTTCAACATTTTTGAACCGCTCCAGCCCTAAGAGGAACAAGGTCCACTGATCCGGCTGATGCTTGATCATGTCGCGCAACTCCAATCGAACGGGCGGTTCCTCTTGAGATCGTCAGCATCTTAGATCGCAAAGTTTGGGTTAGAGGAAGCCGCACTTCCTTCGAAGCCATCTTGGATGCCTTTGATAATGACAGGGCCTTTGGTTCCGTCGGAAGACATTTTGTAGAATGGAACAGATGCTTCGACAACGTAGGTAGATGAGATGAGTCTTTGTATGAAGGTTCAGGGGACAAGATAATCGTGATGATCTGAAGAGGGTGTTCGGCAGGACTTCGAGGAGGGAACCGGGCTAGCTTTTATGTCGAATCCAGGTTAATTCCGACTTCATGATTCTTTCCCAAGTGGCAAGCGTAAGTACCCTCATGAGGTACGGCGGCAGAAGTGAGATGCCGTTGATGTCCAGCTTTCAGCACGCCTCAGCCGTTTCTGTCTCACATTCGCCATCTCGGGTAGGCCCGTCGCGTGCATGATCAGCCTCCAGCCAGCCACATTACTCCAGCTCTGTCTCTCGTTCACATATCGATCTCAAAATTCACATGTGTTAGAGTAAATCGGCATGCCTAGACTGAGCGGTGTGTTCAAGATGCATCATCTGCGTTCAAGGGTTCAGCTAGCCGGGATTGAGGGCGGGGGTAACTCCGGAGAGGACGAGGGCTTGTTGAGACTCTCCAATAATCGCTTTATCTCTTGGATAGTCTTCACACTGAACTTTGAAGAACCATTCGGAATGGCTGATCAGAACATCACCTCGGTTCTCCCAAGAGGAACTGTCTGGTGGTCTCGAAACTCGTGAGAGAAGCGCCAATAGAATCATGAGCATCCCGTGCGACCCACGGCCGAAACGAATGATCACCGAGGTTTTCTATTCTCATCAATCATGGCAACTTACGTTGAAAACAGCAGCTCTAAGCTAATTGTTTGGTCTCAGCCTCAGTTCATATCACACATGAAACCTTGAGACATATTGACGTCCCCGTGAGGCTGCGAGGCGCGGCATACCTATGCCAAGCAGCTTTGCATACTTTGACTACCTACCTCATAATCTTGGTCTAGATCATGTCCGAAGAAGTGCATGAGTGCGGCTGCACGTCTCTTACGATATGTGAGATTGACAGTCAGCTTTCATGAGTCTCACCGTGTCCCCTCACATACAATTTTGCTATACATCCAATCTCACTTCCAAGCGGTGAATAGCATCGTACCTGCAATGCAAGTCACTCTTTGGGATTTCACATGCAGTTCTCTACCTGAGAATGAGTCTGACTCTCAGCAGTCAGCCTTGATCGGCTCTGCAAGCCTTCGGACGTAGCTACCTGCTTAGACAGCTGAGGTAGCAGATGAGACTATCACAAAATTACATGACGACACAAGTAGGACCTGTTTGGCTTTGAGTGGCGAGTTATCTACCAGTCACGTATGCCTTCTGCTACAAAATACCTCATGCCGAGCCATCGCGGTGAGAGGAAAGTTGTACGCGGGGATCGCCGTCGCGTATGTAACTCTCATCACATTCAGGAGCAAAGGTTCATTTACGTAACAGTCACCAGGGAGTAGAAATCTGAGGGGAGCGAAAACGAGTGTCATGAAAAGAAGAAACAACGTCCATCTCAGGCCGACTTTGCCCAAGAGACATCATTCCTATCATTCTTTTTCGTTCGTACTAATTCTCATCTATCTACACATGGCTCTTTCAATCTTTCCTTTCGCATTTCTTCATGCTCATGTCGCTTACGACATATCCTGCATCAACATCCCCCGCCATTGCTTCGTGTTCCCCAACCTCCGAACATTGGGATCCAATACGTACACGACATTCCACCTGGCATTCATTACAGCAAAAAGCATTTCCTCAGCTCTCATCTCATTTCGTCTCGTTAGGACGCAAAAAAAAAAAACACAAAAACCCATGTGATATCTCTGAAGAACAAAAAACAATCAACAAATCCCCAAACTTACCTCCTTGCAACTTTTTTCGCAATAGGAGATGAAGGAGAATGCAAGCAAAACGTCGACCAATAAAACGCCTCAAAAAAGCTGCAAGTCAACTCGTGACAGTCGTCAAGGAATAGCAGAAGGAAGGCCATCGCTGTGTCTATGAAGCAAAAGCAAGAGTGCAAGAAGCAAGCGCCGACAATCGGCACCGATGGTGATTGAGTGAGGATCAACGCTTGAACACACTGCTGAGCTTGCTTCCGCCGACGCTGCTTCCAACACTACTCGACACGCTGCTCATCTTCTCGCTGACCTTTTCGCCGAATCCGCCCATCCACTTAGGCACCTTGAGACTCATGCGCACCTGGCCGTCGACAATCATACTGATGACGTTGAGAACAGCAAACGTGGTAGAGCCGATGGCGCGGAAGAGAGCCAGAATCGCCACGGACCAGAGAATGAAGGCAAGGTAGTAGTTTTCACCAATGCCGCGTTCGCTATACGCCTCAGACACGGCCATGGCGAGAATAGCGTTGCAGATAAGCCACGAGAGCACCATGTAGGTGCGTACGCTCTTATAGTAGTCTTCCTGCAGCTGCGCCTCGGAGATGGGCGAGGGGGGAACCTCGACGCGATCACGGAGGTTGCGAAGCGCCTCGTCGTAGCCAGAATCGATATCAAGCTGCTCGGATGGCATTTCAAGCTCGACACTGTTGCCCTTTCCGATAGCGCCACCCAGATCAGTCTTCATAACGTTGTCTCCCTTGGTACCCCAGGTCACGTCGTGCGTGTTGCAGAAGGCGTATACTTGCAGAGTGCAGATGTACGCAGGCAGAAGCATGAAGTACTGAGCCGCACTAGTGAACAAGTGCCAGGGATCCAGGTACAAGAAGGACATGACGAAGTACAAGCCGATAGTCGAGAGAATCGAGACAATGAAGTTGGTAAAGACGTTTTCGCCCATGTGAATCTCCGGATTGTCCTTCTCCTTTAGCTGACGGATGACGATGTAGAAGGTGGCAAATGTCGTGTAGATCATGATGATACAATACACGACGATACTGAAGAGGTACAGTTTCTTTGCTCCTTGCGGTCGATTACCGAGCGATAGGATGAATTGCGCACAGATGAGCAAGACACAAGTGTATCGTAGGACCGTGAAGATGTATTGACCAATGCTGTGACCGAAGGGATCTACCAGGGGATCGCCTAGACCGCCTGCGACGAAGTAGAAGGTCAGGTAGAAGTTTGCCAGGGAGAAGTAGGTGAAGATGAGCTGCAGGAACTGGTAGATAAATTCAATGTGAAGGAGGATCTTGCGAGTGATGGTGTGATCAGTGTACCAAATCTGCTTGAAGTGAACGAGAGAGTACACAGCAGCGAAGAAGGCACCATTCAGCCAACGACGTCTCTGCGAGATGAACTCAGGAACAGTATCTGTAGACTATGTCAGTAATTGTAAGCTATGATGAGAGCAGATCTCTTACCTGGCACATCAGTTTCACCGTGACATCCCTTCACGTATTTTAAGACCCAGCTTTCACCACGCTTGGCGACAAGCTCCCAGCAGAGGATACGATCCTCGGCGAGGTACATGTTTGCCGTGAACACGTCTGCATGCTGACCGTGCAGTGTCTCTCCCTTGAAGTACTGACTGAGAGGACCATGGCCCGTCTCGTCGTTCTGCAGAGCGTGGTATCGGTAGGCACTGAGCGCACCGGGCAAGACGGTAATGTACCCGAAGATGGATTCAAGGGGCTTGTCGAGAATGTTGGACATCTTGTACTCAAAGTTCTGAGAGGCGACAAGGGGGTTCAGGAGGTTCACTCCAAACTTGCCCTTCATGGCCTTGATCTCTCCGCAAGCACCGGCAACGTTGGAGTCGTTGTCAAAAGCCTTCCAGAGGTGGTACAGAGATGTACCGCCGGGTCTGGTACCAACATCGAGCAAGATGCACACGTTGGGGTTAAGAGCCTTGCCGAAAGCATTGAAGAACCAACGGTGTGAGTTGAGCTTCCTCTGGTTCTTCTCCTTCAGACAGAAGATCAACTGGCAGGGCACGATACCCTTTTCGGCACCCTTGAACTTGAGATCGGAATCGAGCGAGACTTGTGTTGTGTACTCGTAGACGTGGGCCTGCACTGCCTTCTGGTTGACGTAGTTCTTGGCGATGCCGTGCTGGTAGACACCCATTGCCGCCAATGCATCGAGCGTGCGAGGATGAATCTTTTCTCTGCCGTCAGACACAATGCAGACAACAATCTTTTGCCAACCATTATCACCCCATGTGCGCGATTTCGAACGAGCGCAGAAGTGAGAGATGTTCTTCATGACGGCGTACATGGTTCTCGTGAAGCCAAACTCGTCCTCGTTGTACATGGTGACACAGATGAACAGTTCCGTCTCGCGAGCAGTTTTGCCAATTGACTGGCGAAGCTTGTATCCGCGTTCGACAAAGTCATCGGGGTCGCAGGTGACGGCTGTATATCTCATGTGGGTGAACTCGACCTCGTCGCGGCGAGGCAAGAAACTGTAAAGAATCGTAGGAATTTTGCACTCCAAGACCAGCTCTCCGTTGATAAGCTGGACCTCCTTTCTCGACATCTGCGGTGCGCGAACACCTCGGCGCTCTTGCATTCCATCCGGAGCCGGGCCGTAATGCTCTACTTTCTCATTGATGTCGGTCTCTGCATCTTCCTCGCTCAGCGTAACCTGGTCGTGGGACATGTACGATTCTCTCATCGGCTGGCTCTCACTGATGTCGGTCTCGGGTCCGAATACGTCGTCGTTATCGTGGAGAGGGATCGATACTGTGGCGTCATCGGCAAAAGCGGCAGAGTTACGGTTCGCACCAGTTGAGAACAACGGCGCAGGCGGAAGCGGTCGTCGGGGGCTACCACCATATCTTGAAGACGGAGTTCCCGGTCTGGGGCTGCCATTGAGGTCTGATGGCTCATAAATGCCCGAGGCCGGAGGTCTTGTAAAGTCCGACGAGAGGCGGGAAGGGCTATATGTCCTTGTTGGCGAATGACGTCCTGATTGGTACTCGTACGGGTAGTCGTCCTGATACTCCTGCTCGTAGGTGCGCTCGTACTCGCGGGCGTAATCGCGGCCTTGGAAGGGAACGTAGGTTGAGTCGGGCGGCGGCATGCTCGGGGGGTCTCGAATGGACGCGGAGCGGTCGGACAAGATGGACGACGCATAGGATCGTCTGCTGGATCGGGGCC